CACTGACTGTTGTCAGGAATAACAGCAATTAGTGTTGCGTATCCACTCGTTGGTATGCACCTTTAAACACCATTTTAGTTTTTTAAACGGCTGTAGTAATTTGTTGGGATCTACTTGTTTAAAATAGTCAGTCTGTTTAGCCCTACTCTATTTATTGTCTAATCTAAAGATGATCTTTCACGCTAGTTCTTGCTTTATATCGGAATACGCGTGTCTCGAAATCTATACTTGACTGGTAGGCTCTTTGAGTATTAAATGCTAACTGATGATGTTATTCTTCTTCGTAATCTTGTGGTCTTCCTTGATGTTAATTTTATGCTTTGAAAAATCCATTACTAAGTGAGCTTGTGGCTCTTATCCTTGTGTAGAAAGATAGTTCTATCATATTGTTGTACATGAACTTTGTCTTCTTTTGTTCTTTGTCTATCTTCCTTGTAATGCATTATTTAACTTTGTAAGCTCATACAATTATCTGTGCGAGCTTTTCTGCTGTTATTATGTTGTTATAGTATGCTAATGCATTTACTCTGCTTCTGTTTTTCCTGCAGTACGTGTCATTGGCGAAACCTTCATTTAGTGTTGACTGTGGTATACTCCGTGATTGCTACGAGTCATTTGCCATGTATTGTTTTGGAAGATATCTAGTTGCTTGCTTGGGTATGCCTTTACCAAATGAAATTTCTATTTTCTTTATCCTTTGTACTTATTGTTATATAGCATTGTTGTGAATTTTTCATTGTATACTTACACTTGCTTTGTTTTTATTAAATAATGGGACTCCCCTCCTTCTTTTGTCTCATTGATAGAAATCATATTGTTTCCATTGAGGCATGCGTTCTACTAAATATAGAAAAGGATCAATGCATTTTTGTTTGCAATGAATTCATTTTGTTTGGATCATTAGATGTTCCTTCAATGCTTATACAAACCAATTTTTAGCATCTATGTATATTCTCAAGTAAATGAACTTATTGTGTTTAGATCGTTAGATGTTCCTTCAATGCTTATACAATTTTTAGCATTTATGTATATCCTCAAGTAATATGATGAGGCACGTCACAAAGTGAAGTTTTAAACGCCTTAAGGAGGCGGTAAGCCCCATAAGTTTCCATCATTTTTACTTTTATAAAATACAGAAATTAAGAGACAATAAAATGCATGTAACTTCATATAACCTTTTCTTTAGAAATCTATGTAAAGATAAATTTGCATTTTTATTATTTTCTTAAGTTACAGCCAGTGTTGTGAAAAAAGGGTCTCAGCATGTGTGTAGGAGCTGCTTAGGTTCTGTAGCATTGAAGGTACTTCAGTCACTGCTGCTTGGGTCATCCACCCTAGCATTTTTCAGACACTGGATATAGCCATTATCTTTTTAACCGTCATATGTTCCAACATGTTGTGAAGGCCCATTTTGACTGTTCTATTATGTAAGAATCACTCAATTAGGCCTGACATGCTCATTTCATTATGTCTGTACACTAGAAATGAACAATGAGGCATGAGTTGCATACTTCATTTTGTTAATGTATAAGGTGTGCTTGAGCGCCTCAGTGGACTGGTTGTATAAAATTTTTTCTTGCATTCCTCCTTTTTTTCTGTCTAAATGTTGAAAAGTATCTGATCATACTTGTTTTTCTTTCCTTATCATCTACTACTTCTGGACTTTGTCAATGATTTTTTAAATCATTTGTTACTCTGTTTCAGGTGGGGAAGAGAGGACAATCGAGTTTATGAAGAGGGAGGGTGGTTCAAGTTCTAGTGCACCTCTACTTCCACAAGCTTCTGAAAAGGGTGTTATCAAGCATCCATTTCCCATGAAATATTTTTTAAAACCATGGAGACTGGGTGAATGGTTTTACCTGGTTATCAAGTTTGGGATTATTCAATATGTACGTTGGACCTCTTTTTATTACAAATTTTTCTAGTGATCAGTTAAAAAAAAAAATCTCTAGTGATCCTTATATCAATAATTTATTTGATTTCTCTCTCTTTCATTGCAGATGATAATAAAGACAGTGTGTGCCATATCATCTGTGTTTCTTGAAGCTTTTGGTGTATATTGTGAAGGAGAGTTTAAGTGGAACTGTGGGTATGATAAAATCACAATCTTTTGGATGATAATTTTATAATTGCATAATTCACTGCTCTTAAATAGCAGGAAGGGCAAAGCGTCACTTTGGAAGTTCGACTTACAATACTGTGAATGGCTTCTCTATATTAAGATTTTTTGGCTAATTTTTTTTTAGTTAGCATCTTCATCTAGGTTGAATTTGTTTCTATTTTGTTACCATTGAAACTTTTATCTATTTTTTGCAACTCCAATTTCAATCGCATCCTATGTGCAGGCTTATGCAAACATTCTATAAGCAAATAGTTTAGAACCATATTCCCTTGTTGTTTCGATAGACTATTCCATGTACTAATTAGTGTATGGTAGGTAAGATGACAAGATTTTTCAATAGGAAATTATTTTCTCCTAGGCCCACTGATATAAAAAGAAAAATACTAGAGCCAAATGGAGTGTCCTTTCCAATCTGGAGTGCCATCTTCTGTTGCAAATTGTTAGGTGCTCAATGTGTTTGTCTGTCTAGGAGGTTTTCCAGAAAAGTTTTCTCCTGGGACATGTTTGTGTACCTCACATTTGGAGGTGATCGGAAGTATTATATTTGGTCTTTACCTAGGAGAATCAGAACATCTGTAGTATGAAGCTTATCATGCTTTTCTACATGATCGTATGTTCTTTTATTCTTTCGGACTCTTTTTCCTGAAATTCTAAATTTCATATTAGCACTGGAAAAAGGCTATTAAATGTTATATAGCTTTCTATTTGTAGAACTTCTTGTGGCTACTGAAAATTGGGGTGGTGTTGTGCACTTCTTGCAAGGAACTCATTGCAATCATAGTTAACTGTGTGTATTCTCTATAACAAGAATTTTTTACGACTATCAATTGTATGCTGTTCACCTTCCATGCTGTTTTGTCATCAATTTGTCTTGTGAGAAACTTACTCATAAGACAACCATTATTCTTTACTTGATTTTGTAGGTATCCCTACATGGCTGTGGTTCTCAATTTCAGTCAGACATGGGCCCTGTACTGTCTAGTTCAGTTCTATACTGCTACCAAGGATGAATTGGCGCATATAAAACCATTGGCTAAATTCTTAGTCTTCAAATCAATAGTCTTTCTCACTTGGTGGCAAGGCGTGGCAATTGCACTACTTGATACCTTGGGTTTGTTCAAGAGCCCTATAGCTCAAGGTTTACAATTCAAAACTAGTGTTCAAGATTTCATCATCTGTATAGAGGTATGAAATCATTGCTAGGTTTGTTTTACTGATATATATTCGATGTATGCTTCTGTTTCAATTTTTTGAGTCCACGATATTTTCGTGTAAGTACATACGGATTTGACTTAGTACATTCAAAGGTTTTTCTTGTATGGTTATTCTGCTTCCCTTCTGGAGTTGGAGTTACTGCAGTTTAGGTAACAGCAGAATACAGCAAAACTGGATAAGGTGGCCGCCCGTTTTGTTCTGCATCATGCACTGGGTCTTTGTTAAATGATGCACATTCTTTATTCTTTATGATCAGCCTGACCTACACGCAACCTTTGCAAAGTAGTACTGATATTTCTAGGAGTTTGAAACTCTAAGTCGCCAGAGATCAACGAGTAGGCTAATCTTGAGTCAGCGACGGTCTCTTTAAAGTAACTCTAGAAAGCATAGTTCTCCGTTCATATTGCATGTGTGCTTGCTCTCTCTAAATTGAAACACCAAATTGTGGATGTAGGGAGCTAATTTTGTGATTGAGCAGCAGTAGAGCAGCTGGTTATAGGTGTCATTTTGTCAATTGGGTCATTATTGTTAACTGCAAACGGCTTCATTCTTATAACTAACAGAGAGATGATGTCAAGCACTGTGCTTTTGTAGCTTTTGAAGGCATCTTCTTACTGGATGTATAATGAAATCCTTTTTGTTCGAAATGATTGATTAGAGGTCTCTATATACAAATATTAAGTAAATTAACCCGTTGAATATCGTTGGTGCTAAATGGCCAAGAACTAATTGTAGTTATAACTGTCCACACCTGTACCAGAATGATGTGAGCTCACCTTTCTTGTTTCTCACACATTTTTTTATTTGCAAATGGAGCATAAAGCTAGTCTTGTGAGCATCACTTGTCCCTGTGCTGCTCTTGTATGTGATTTAAAAAATGGAGCTACCTGGTATTTTAGTGCCACTTTCCTGCTCTTCTTTGTTTCTCACTCTCTTTGTACTCATTCTGGTCATGGATGAAAATTGAGATGGTTAAGACCTTAATGTGGATGTGTTTTGAAATCTTTAACTTTTATGACCATCTTTCTTGCTAAATTGTGAAATGCTGGGAGTTATAACAAACTAATGACCTAGCTGACCCGTTCTAATCTTTCTATATCACTTATTATTTAAGAAGCTGTTCAGTTATCCAGAGGCTCTAAATCTTAAGAGAGTTTTTCCTGAAAGATGTTGATGGTTGGACTAGAAAATAATGCCCAAAACCTAATTAAATTAGAAAAAGCAGGTTTTTTGTATAATAATTTGTAATGATATGCGTGGCATTTTGAGGTGAAATGGCATCCACTTTGAAGTTATGGTGATGAAGTATGTGGAAAAATCGGAGAACTTTTTGGATGTGTCACTGTGTCATCTTGCTCTTGTGTGTGCACACACCAAATTTCCAATCAAAACCATGTTTCCTGCTTTTGTTTTCCCTGGCCCTTGCACACTTCAATTCTCCTTTGTTGGCTGATATAGTAACCTAGGGTTTAGTGGGGGTTGAGTCAGGAGTTTGTTCTTGTGCTTCCGTGAGTAGCTATGGTAGCAAATTTTAATAAAACAATGACTGAATCCTTTTAGTTCTTCAGAAAGTTTGCAGTTCTCAATTGTCTTGTTCAAGAAGTGACGTTGAGAGTTGCTGTACCTTGGGCGTGTTAGAAAAAGAGTACTGGTGCAAGATTGTTTGTATTATGAAGGAAATTCAAAAAAATGAAGGAAATTCATTTTTGACTTATAATTTTCTAGCTTTTCCCATCCAAGCTCGTTCTTCTCCTTCAGTTATTGTCTCATGAGTTTCAACATTTGTCAACTTTTAGATTTGTATTCCTGGTAACATTTGAGGATCTACCTTTCATGTAATCTCATGTATATTTACATGCTAGAATGGTAATTTCCATAAGCATTTATCAGTTATGGACCTTTGGGAACTACAGTACAGGAACCAAATAAACTAAAGTTGTGAAATTGTATATGTATATAACGGTACATTGTAGTTTAACATGCATAAGCCATGAGGTTCTTTAGGTAAACTGGGTTCCAAGGAATCAGGTTTTACTCTTATGTGACTTTCGTCTGTGCATTCATGGTTGAAACCCCACATTTCTTAAGAGTCGTGTGTGTGTATATAGTTGTTTCATGGATTATATATAGAGTTGTTTCATGGATCCGCAAGAGTATTTGGGTTCTCCCAATAAATAAAAAGTATATCCTCTTATAGATAAGACTAACAAAGAACAGAGTTCTTTTTGTATCACTTGAGTCGCTCTTTTTTATTGATTTCTTTTTCTTAATTTCTCGTTTTTAATGGGAGTAGATTAAATCTATTTATTGAATTCGAGAATTACAAAATTTTTTTCTTTCAATATTTTTTGAAGTTTCTGATAAGACACTTATTAATCGGTACTGCAGTAGTTCTTTGGTTAGGTATTGGAACAACATTACCTATTGATAAATCTCTAACTTTACTTAAATGGATTCAACCGTGAAATACCACGATATAGGTATCTAGGGAATAGTCGATTCTAAAGTGTGTGTGTATATATATATGTTATAAAGGTGCAGAAACTTGATGTAATTTATCACAATATGTTTCTGTTTGCTTGGAGCTTACTTTTTGTTTGATATGTCTTCAAACCCTAACAGATTCATTTTCTTCCAGCACAGATGGGTGTTGCCTCTATCGTTCACCTCTATGTATTCCCTTCCAAGCCTTACGAGCTAATGGGCGATATCTTTCCGGGAAATGTTTCAATTCTTGGAGACTATGTATCTGCAGACCCTTTAGATCCTGATGAGGTTAGGGACATTGAACGGCCCACAAAGCTGAGACTTCCTCAGCCTGATGTTGACTCCAAGAGTGGAATGACCATCAGAGAAAGTGTTCGAGATGTTGTTCTTGGTGGTGGGGAATATGTAAGCTCCCTCCCCCCACCCCCCTCCCTCGTTCTCCCTTCCTCACACAACACACACACACACACACACACACATCACCACCACCACCAGCAATGCCTTATCTCAGAATTTTTGGGTTAGGTTACAGCAATCCCATTCTTCCATACAGTTCTAAGGAGGGCATCCCTCCACTAAGTTAATTATTATTACATCTTTCATCTTAACTGCTTCAAATCAAGTTCTCTTTAGGTCTATCTCTACCCTTTCTTTCTCTTTTATCTATAATCTTATCACTTCTTCTAATTGGTGCATTCAACAGTTACACACATATAATTCAAAGCAAAATGTGCAGGCACATGCATTTATACTATCATGTAAAAATGACTTGAAATCTTTAATATTCCTTTCGATTAACATGGCCATATGTGCATTTATATCAGAAATATTGATATATAAAATGATAGAGATGGATTATATGAAAGATAATAGTTGTGCATGGCAATTAAAATTATATTGTTACTTCTCCAGGAAACATGTTTATCTAAGCTTCTGACTGAAACCATCTTTTATATGATCGATCGTAGATTGTAAACGATTTGAAGTTCACCGTGACCCACGCAGTAGAGCCCATGGAGAAGGGTTTCACACGATTCAACGAGAAGCTCCACAAGATCTCTGAGAACATAAAAAAGCATGACAAGGAGAAGAAAAGAACAAAGGATGACAGCTGCATCGGTTCATCATCACCTACGAGGAGAGTAATTCGTGGTATAGATGACCCCCTCCTCAATGGAAGCTTTAGCGACAGCGGGGCTACCAGAGGAAGGAGACATCGAAAGAAGTCGGGGTACACAAGCGCAGAAAGTGGAGGAGAGAGCAGTAGTGATCAAGGCCATGGTGGCTTTGAGATCAGAGGACGAAGGTGGATTACCAAGGACTGAAGATTTAAGAAAATAGTACAATTTTTCTTCAGGAGGATGAAGGACGATCACACTGTACACGGGTTTTCAAGTGGAGTTGTGTATATATGTTGAAATGGTTAAGAAACCCGCATGCGTTAATGAAGCATTCAGTGGGGTGATCCAGGCTTTATTCACAGGTCTGTCTGATATAGATTCATCTTCACAAGGGAAATGGTCTTCTGTATATCAAATTCCTATGTAATTTGCAAAAAGCAGATGCACATATGATGATCAACTGTCATAAAATTACTTGAAATGCAGGTGCCATTGGCTTGCATATATTCGAAGTCTGTTTGTATGGGATTTACTCGGATCAGTGCGTGTTTTGTTCAGTGCAGGCTATGTAAGATATTGCGCACCGTTCATTAGCTTCCATCGGGTGACCACATTGGGTGCTGGTGATGCCTGCCGTAGTCTACTGCGAATTTTCTTCTTTCTCGATACGCCATATAAAATTAACGGGTAATTTTGTTAGCATTATAACAATTTCCTTTACCAGAAGAGAAAAGTAATTTTCTTTGAGTTTTCACTACACTTAAAAAAATGAAATTTCCCTCCTCAATGTTTGAATTATTGTCTCTTCTGAGAGCAGCCAAGGGAGAAATCCCTTGAAACAATGATCAAACTAGACTCCATAAAAATCGACATCTGATGACAAGCATTCGATTTCTTGTCTACGATATTCTGAGCGACAGATTGACAGGTTTCACATGGCGCGATCACGATTCCAGTTGATCCCTTACTTTTTGTAAGGAAGTCTGCTGAATCTGCTGCTTGGTTTGCACCTGAGCATGCCATGGCTTTTTTAGAAAATTTTGAATTCTAGCAGTGATATTATAATTAGGACCATCATCCGTAGCATTCTGAATAACATTAATCGACTTCGTAAGAGTTTATTTCTGACACAAAGTTGTGAATAGCGTCGGTCGCCAAGCTAACTCAAAGCTAAATCAAAGGCCATAAAGAGTAGCATCCGACGATTTACTTATCTGAGTGTAAAAAAATAGTTGGATCCAGTAGCAAGTATTAGTGAGGCGAGGGGCTAATGTTAGAATACTAACTATTTAAGGAACCAAACCCCTAGCAAAAGCCCAATTGAGGAGCTCTTTTATTTTCTGGAGAGAACAATACAAGCTGAAAAGGCTTAGGGGGTGTTTGTTTGCATGCGAGTAAAAGATGAAAGTGAGAAATTTATTTTCATTTAACAATTAAGGTGTTTGTTTTTATGTAAGTGGTTTATGAAAGTGAGATGCAAGAAAGTTATCACATATGATTTAATACAATTTTGACTTCCTTTAAAAAAGTGGTGACGTCACATAAAAGTAACAAAAAGGTAACTAATTTAATTAAATAATTTTAATTATACTTTCCAAGTAATCTTATTTTGCCACGTCATCTTCACATTACACCTTCGAAATAATTTAATTTTTCAAACAAACACTGCATCTCACTTGCGTGCTGATATAGATGTAAAAGTCATTTGCCAAAAAAAAAAAAAAATTACGTATTTTAAATTCAGTTTGAGATCCCCAAACACCCCTTTTAACTTTCCAGTGACGAAGGGCCGTGATAAAAAAACAAACGGGCTGATTCTTCGGCACCCAGCAGCGCCGTTAAAAACTCGAAGAAGAGGGGAAAGAAACAATATGTCGTGCTCTTCTCCTTCGATTTCCCTCTCCCCTCCATCTCTATTGTCCTCAGGCAGCTGTAGAACGGTATAAACCCAATTCAAGTTTCCGTTTAATTCTTTGCTCTTTCATACTTTGCTGTGATATCACGGGGGTAGTTTCTTCAAAAGACTTGTGGGTGTATTGGGTTTCTTTTCCAGTTATGGGTATTTTTCTGTTGGTTTTTTTTTTTGATAAATTAATGGGTAAACTGCAGTGTTTGATAGTTTGTACTTGTCTGATTGTTTGAAGGTGCTTGTAGTTAATTTAACCATGTGGGTTTCTCATTATGCTCAATTTTTGGTTGGTGAAGTGGTGATGCATAGTAAATGAGCTACTAGATAAGTAGTTATTTTGACTCCAGGGGAAATCGAGAGTAAGAATCATGTATCAGAAATCTCGATCTCTGGTTCAAAGAGGGCACTGGGTGTTCATGCTCGAGAAATGAAGAGTACAAAGATTATTATAACATACATGGTCACAGTGTCACGGGTTCTAGCACGTTCATACATATGCCCAACTAAAAGTTACCCTCAAAAGATACATATTTAGTGTGATTTTGAAAGTCATTCATATACAAGCAATAAAGTTTGAAGTTCACAACACGTTGACTTTTGTCAAATTCTCAATAGATATCTGTTATAAGTGGCGGAGCCAGGACCCGTACGGCAGCAGGGGCAATAAATTGTAAATAAATAAAATATAATGGTAACCTCAAATAGGACAAAGATTAAATATAAGCATTAGCAGATCAGCTGTAATAGACCTTATATTTTAATAGTTACCTATTAAGAAAAATCTAGAACAAATGAAGTCATAGAAGTTTGACCTATTTTTACCAAAATCCTCCTACTCTAGTTATCTTTTAGTTACAACCTCTTCTAGGAGATTCTTTATTGTCTTTGTCAATACATGAGGGCAACAAAAGTGCGAGGGATTTGATTTAGGATTTGGATATACTCTACTATAAAAAAGTAGCAAGAGATGACTACTTTAATTACTTTTAATTCAACCGTGTTTAATGAATGGTTATGATTTATCTTTTTGAATGTAAATTAAGAATGAGTGCAATTCATAAGCATAATAAGTATTACATCTTGAATGAATGACAATCGTTTACAACCATATACTTGTGCATTTAATATTCAACAGTTCGGATTATATCTTTGATTAGAAATTATGATGAGATTTATGTTTAGTTAAATTTAATAAGTATTTAGGTCTAATTAAATAGGTCTAATTAAACTCTAACTGAAATTATTTAAAAATCAATTCTATTTATTTAAAATACATGACAAGACTATAAATATATTAATTCATTTAAAATTAAATTGGTCTTTAACTCAATTGAAAATGTAAATTAACTTTAATAGTAACGTGTTTGATAAATTGACTAGGGGCAATACTAAAGCCAGTTATCAAAACTAAATATTAGATATTTTATGGTTATATTTCATAAAATATTTTGAGTGGGGGCATTTGCCCACACTCAGCTCTTCGTGGCTCTGCCACTGTCCGTTATCAAATTCGGAAGATATCCCATATCTTTCCTAAGCACCTGGAAGATATAAAAAATTGATGGAAATTCTGTCTTCACAATATTGTTCAAAATTTCAAATAGACACTTTACATAAAATATTGCAAGGAGAATTGGGGGAAATTTGATGCTTCAGAAAAGTTGGCAATTACACACACACACACACACACATACATATACATATACATATATATTTTGGTGAAGACAGGTTCAGTTCTTATATGTACTTCAATAGAGAAGATGGTTGGATTGGATTTATCTAAATGGAGGTCATTGCTGCTGCAATCTACTTCCAGTTGTGCGCAGATCGAAATACTGAAGTTGGAAATATACCTTGTTTTGTATTGAATTGCTTATATAACTGTATATTTGGTGCACCTAGTACTCAATAGAATGACCTATGTGTTGGGAAATTATTCAACTTTACATGCTTTTCCTAATACTTCAGTGGCAATTGGTGCTGCATCCATATGAACGTATTTTTAGTTGAAATGTTTTGGTTGTTCTAACTACATGGATGAGATCTAAAAACATGGAATCAATTTAGTTATCCAAATAGTTGGAATTGCTTGAGGCTCTGGCTACAAGTACCAAACAAGTCATAGTTTACATGAATTAGTGGCATCAATATGTTTAGCAATGAAATTATGTTAATGCCTCAGAACATATGTTATTATTTCAAGTTAATTGCTCCGTTTTGCATCTTCATCCATAGTTTTCAAGAAGTCAAGGACCAGCTCAACTGCGGTCGTTTTCCACAGGCAGATCTGATAGATTATCATGCCAATTTTCTTTTCCTAGCCTGAACAAATTATCAATGAATTTGAAGGTAAGATAACTAAGCTTCGTAAGAAAGTATCATGATGAGATTATTTTTTATTGTTTTTCTGTTCAGCTTGTAAATTATCCTATCCGTTGACTTCTTTAAGCATCTATATTTTTTCAGCATAAGCGAGGGCATGATTTTGCAGTCTCAACCACTCCACATGATAAATCAGCTATGACATCAACTGAAGATGCAGAAAATATTGGTATTCTTGCTCTTGACCCATTATTAGAGCAATTTAAAGACCATTTTACATACAGATCGAAGAAATACAGGAATCAGAAAGCTTTGATTGACGAGCATGAAGGAAGTCTTGAAGAATTCTCCCAAGGTTGAGTTGCATTATCTTGTAACTTCTCCCATCATAGACAATTTAGATAATTAGTCATCATTCCTTCAGTTAAATTGGTGTAATAGATTATGCATGCTACATGTTCTAACAATAATATTTTATTTTAGCTAAATGTATCTTTTTTTTCAGGTTATTTGAAATTTGGATTCAACAAGGAACATGATGGAATTGTGTATCATGAGTGGGCTCCTGCTGCTCAGTGAGTTTTTTTTTTGGGCAAAGTTGCTTTTCTTCATGTTTTAACTTGTACTGCTTAAGTTTAGCAGCATGCCTATCCACCTAACAAATTTGTTTTTCAATTTTTCGTTTGGAGTTTAACATTCAGTGTTAGTTAAGCACCGGATAAATGTATTCCGAACTTGACATTTTTCTTTAAAGTAAAAATTTCACTGAACAGTGAGTCTGAACCTTCATGATTGATATCAGCGGATTGTAAATGAGGGTAATTTCGTGATTACACTTCTGTTTTTCGTGTCTATCCAGTTTTGTGTCTATACTTTACTAAATAAGGTGTTTTTTAGCTGCGAAACACTTCTAGGAACCTCTATGTATGTGCTGACATTTGCTATTTTATTTAGTCCTTTTTGATTAGCAGCTTGTTGGACTCTAGTCGAAAACATTGTTTCTTCTAAGGAAGGTACAAAAGATGGAAATGTGCCAGTTTGTAGACATATCATTATCTTCTGAACTACTAAACAGAAAACATTTTCTAGATGGTGTACTACTTTCAACCTTGAGATGCATACAATGAAAGTGTATATCATGATGATTCTTGAAATATATGTTAGCTTTCTTTATGTTGATTACCTTGTTAGCAGATGAAGTCCTCTGGACACAACCTTTTGCCTGTTTCTGAGTACACAACCATTTTTGCTAGATGGATGTTAAAGTGAATGCTTGGATCTATGATATGAATTGTCAGCTTGTCTGTAGGGAAGCTCAGCTGATAGGAGATTTTAATGGTTGGGATGGGACTAACCATAGAATGGAAAAAAATGAATTCGGTGTTTGGAGGATCAAGATTCTGGACTCTGGTGGCAAGCCTGCCATTCCTCACAATTCAAAGGTTAAATTTCGATTTAAGCATGGAAATGGAGTATGGGTTGAACGAATACCAGCATGGATCAAATATGCCACTGTCGATCCTACTCGATTTGCAGCCCCCTATGATGGAGTTTACTGGGACCCACCACCATCAGAAAGGTCTCTCTATTACTCAGGAAAATGAAAATTTATTTTGCATAAAGATGATAACTACCAAAATATTCTAGTTAATTTCAATTATTTATTATTCTATTGATGCAGACACATATTTAAGTATCCTCGTCCGCCGAATCCTGCAGCACCGCGAATATATGAGGCCCATGTTGGAATGAGCAGTACAGAGCCATGCATAAACTCATATCGAGATTTTGTTGATAATGTTCTGCCTCGCATTAAAGAAAATAACTATAATACAGTCCAATTAATGGCTATCATGGAGCATTCCTACTACGCATCCTTTGGATATCACATTACGAATTTCTTTGCTGTTAGCAGTAGATCTGGATCACCTGAGGATCTCAAGTATCTGATTGACAAAGCCCACAGTTTAGGTCTACGAGTTTTAATGGATGTTGTTCATAGCCACGCGAGCAACAATATCACTGATGGTCTTAATGGCTTTGATGTTGGGCAAAGCACTCAGGATTCCTATTTCCATAGCGGAGAGCGTGGTTACCATAAGTTGTGGGATAGCCGGTTATTTAACTATGCTAATTGGGAAGTCCTGCGATTTCTGCTGTCTAATTTGAGATGGTGGTTGGAAGAATACAAATTTGATGGATTTCGATTTGATGGAGTAACTTCAATGTTGTATCATCATCACGGAATCAACACGGTTTTTACTGGAAATTACAATGAGTATTTCAGTGAGGCAACAGATGTGGATGCTGTTGTTTATATGATGTTGGCAAACCATTTGGTTCATAATCTCTTGCCAGATGCAACTGTTATTGCTGAAGATGTTTCAGGTATGCCTGCTCTCTGTCGTCCAGTCCATGAAGGTGGAGTGGGTTTTGATTATCGGTTGGCTATGGGAATTCCAGACAAGTGGATTGACTACTTAAAGAACAAGAGAGATACAGAATGGTCTATGAAAGATATTGCTTGGACTTTAACAAACAGGAGATGTGCAGAAAAGTGTATAGCATATGCAGAGAGTCATGATCAGGTAGTTCAATAGAAGTTACTGAGGAAGTAGGTTATTAGTTATCCTATAGCATTACGAGCAAATGGCATATCATAATTGATTTAAAATTTCTGTAAGATGATGTAAATTGGAATTTTGAGACACAGTTACGATTTTCGTTGATATGAGTAGTAATGCAAGTGAGATTGGATTTCTAGCATGCTGATTCATGAAATCATCTTCAGCTAAATAGTGATAGATAACATCTCTTTCAAAATAAGTGTCTCCATCATGCATTACTTAACAATAATATGAATCATTATAATGTATATAAGTTCTCTAAATATCTGAGATCTGTCTATAGTTGTATACTTTTTGAGGGAGACCTTCTTGCTTTCTTCCACAGGCAATTGTAGGAGATAAGTCTTTTGCCTTTCTTCTGATGGATGCAGAAATATACTCTGGCATGTCTGATCTGAAACCTGCTTCGCCTGTAATTGAGCGAGGAATTGCACTTCACAAGGTTCATATTATTCTTTTACTTTCTTGCTAGATTTTTTATTAGTTCAAAGCGTCAATATCTTTGAGTAGTTTCATTGTCACTGTTCCTATGTTGAATTTTAAGTTACAAAATTATATTATTTGTGCAGATGATTCATTTCATAACTATGGCACTAGGAGGTGAAGGCTACCTAAACTTTATGGGAAATGAGGTAAATCTCTCAAGACCCTTCTCAGTTTCTTTAAACTTCTCAATGAAGTTTAAATCTTGTATTCATCATTTTCTGAAGATACGCGGGATGTGTTAATCGTATGGAATAAACCAAATTACAACGTGGCCATAATTCAAAACGTACTAGTTCTAGATCCATTTCAGACTGTACTTACCATTTGCATGTCTCTCTTAAAAGATATTGTAATGTAGCCCATTATGCTTCTGACTAGGCTAGTTTTAAGTGTAATAAATGAAAAATGCCTTGAGAACCCAAAATATGGGACCAAGGGAGGGGACAGGTGAGATGTCCCCCTCCTATTGTATAATGAGCTGGTCATGCCAGCTCATTATGCAATAGGAGGGGGACACCTCACCTGTCTCCTCCAATGGTCTCATATTTTGGGTCCCCGTAGCAGCGCTCATAATAAATTGATATGCGTGGTTGTTGCATAGTTAATTAGTCTACCTTAAGGTGTTATGATTTCAGTTCCCATACTTCACATGTGCAACTGTGCAAAAGTTGAAGCACATAGGATAATTCAGAGGCCACTCGTTTCAGTTAGTTAATATAGAAATTTTTTCTTTTTTGCAATAATATTAAGTAATTAAAGATAAAAGCCAAATTGAGATGGATAATATCTAAAAGGCTTTGTGCAATATGATTGCAAGCTATATAATGTCACAAGGGTTTATTGTATTTGTTTCATTTCCACCAGTTTCTAATTGCATATTCGTCTAACAATATGATTGTTGTAGTTTGGACATCCAGAATGGATAGACTTTCCTAGAGAAGGAAATGGTTGGAGTTATGAAAAGTGCCGGCGCCTGTGGAACCTTGTTGATACTGATCATCTCAGATACAAGGTTCGCGTGTATCTTCCCACAGAAATATTTTAAAACTAAAATGTAAATACACACATCTGTATTCTGTACTTCTATTAAATCGCACGTGCGCGCACGCATGACTTATTTAAGAGCCCCTTCAGCTGCCTTTTCCAACACTGGTTTTCATATTTTTCATTTTATTACATATGTTGATAAATCCCCAGCCACATACCCAATTACACATGCAAATATATACCGAGCATTTTATTTGACAAGTGAATAAGTAATTTGGTTATTCTCAGTGAAGTTTTGTGACGCCACGTATGCCCTCTGTTGCACCTGTGTGATTTTTTTTGGGGTTGCTGCAACGCCATTTTTGGGGGTAATCTCCTTATATTATTTCATTTCCACTGGCAGCTTTGAGTTGAAATAGTTTAAATGCATTAGAAAACATGATCTTCATTTTACAAGTTATCTACTAGTTTCAGAGTTTAATACTTCATGATTGTTCCTGCAGAATTTTGTTTGTTTGTTTTAGTTTGCCGGTTGCCTACTAGCAATGCTATACTAGTATAATGTGTTCTACATTTCTTTCAACTAATTTCCTTATCTTGGATGTTTGTGTATAAAATCATTCTCATCTTGTCTTTTACTGAGCTCTGTCTGGAGTCCTTTTTCCCGCTAAGTGCC